ACTTTTCATGTGCACATTTATAAGCTTATCAATATTTAAAATATCATCCAAAAAGGAGTTTGGGATTATGATTTAAAATTTCATTTATCATATTTACATTAACCATTTAATAAAATATACTTATTTTAACAGCCATGTGAAAAAGTAACCAGTTACCTCTTCTCTATCTATAAATCAAGTTATTTTAAGCTACAACTTCTTTAAATTATTTGCTCAATGTTGTTGTTGTTGTTATGTGCCATCGAGTCAAACCCGACTCATAGCGACCCCTCCTTGGGTTTCCGAGGCAGTATCACTACGGAAGTAGGATTGCCCAACCTTCCTTCCAAGGAGTGGCTGGTGGGTTTGAACTGCCAGCCGTCTGGTTAGCAGGCAAGTGTCTTAGCCACTATGCTACCAGAGCTCCCAGATACTGATTAGAAGGGTCTAATTTGTGAACTGTGTGTCTCACTGTGTAGCCCACTGTAACCAAGTCATAGTTCTTTCATTCCCCGACAGTCCCAGTAAATGGGTAATATAGATCACAGATGTGAGCTAATTCTTTCCTCCTTATTCTGACTTTTACATGTTTCGTTATTCCTTATTATATGCAGGACTTTGTGTATTGAATATGATATTGTTATGATACACACAGTCAAATGCCTTTGTATAGTCAAGAAAAAAAAAAAAGTCAACATTTTTCTGGTATTCTCTGCTTTCAGCCAAGATTTGACATAAGCAATGATATCCCTTATTCTACATTCTCTTCTGAATCCAGCTTGAATTTCTGTCAGTTCCCTATCGATATACTGCTGTACCAATTTTTTAATTATCTTCAGCAAAATTTTACTTGTGTGTGATATTAATGATATTGTTCAATAGTTTCCACATTCTGTTGCATCACCTTTCTTTGAAATGGGCACAAACATGGATCTCTTCCAGTCAGTTGGCCAGGCAGCCAGGTTATAAATTTCTTGTCATAGACTAGTGAGTGCTTCCAGTGTTGCAGCCATTTGTTGAAACTTCTCAATGGGTATTCTTTCAATTCCTGGAGCTTTCTTCTTTGCCAATTCCTTCAGCGCAGCTTGGACTTCTTCTTTCAATACCATTAGTTCTTGATCATATGCTTGCTGCCTCCTGAAATGGTTGAACATCAACCAATTATTTTTGGTACAGTGACTGTGTACTTCTATCTTCTTTTGATGCTTCCTGCATTATTCAGTGTTATATCCATAGATTCTTTCATTATTGTTACTTGATGCTTGAATTTTTTAAATTTCTTGCAGCTTGAGAAATGGTGAATGTGGTCTTTCTTTGTGGTTTTCTAACTCCAAGTCTTTGCCTATTTCATATTTCATTTTAATAGAGAGAACTAGTGGTCTGCAATCTGAGGATCTGTTTACTAGAATTATGTTTCAAATGGACCTTGACTTTCCAAAGTAAGGTTAAAATAGTATTTATTGAAAATTTCAGCAAATAAGGAGCCAGGAAATTAGAAGTGATAAAGGACCATACTTTATAATCCTAACAAAGATTCTCGCATATTAACTATTAATTGTACCAAAACACTGTAATTGGCATTCCCACAAAAATCTTACATTATCTTTTTTTTTTTTTTATTGTGATTTGGGTGGAGGTATTACATTATCCTTTTAACAATCCATTAATATTTAAAGATACTGAAACACAAAAATCGCACCCCCTCTCACCAAATCCAGCATTTCTCTCCTCTTTCTCCTGTGTAAATTTCTCTTCCTCTATTGAATCTTTCCGATTAACTTCCACTATTATTTCTACCTTCTTCATTAACGAAAACTATTAATCCTACTTCCTCTTCAGCTATCACCTTGTTTCTCTCCTCTTTTATGTCATGGTCTATGAGAATGCCACCTTTTGGAATCGTGTAGTGTGTAGAACACAGAAATCATTGTTTCTAATGTCTCTCCTTCTATTTTATCCAGAAACAAACTGCAATTAGGCTTTTGTTCCCACCCATGTACTACAGTTGTCTTCTTCAAAGGTCAATAAAATTTTTCTGTAAAGAGTTAGACAGTAAATATTATGACTGTCATGCATTCTTTTATTTACTTATTTTTTAAACAACCCTTTTAAAAATGCAGAAACCACTCTTAGTTCCCGTGCAATGTCACTAAATACTTAAGACAATCAATTCTGAGTCCTCACTTTATTTGACCTATCAGCATTATTCAATACACACTTCGATCACAACCTCCTCCTTGACCGACATTCTTCACTTGGCTTTCAGGATGTAACTCTTATTTTCCTGGATTTCCTACCATCTCACAGGTAGCTCCTCTTCTCATCTTCTTTAATAGATTCTTCAATTTCCTAACGTATTGCACCGGAATGCCCCCAAAGCTCAGTGTGGTAGTTAAGGTTATGTGTCAACTTGGCTGGGCCTGGTTTTGAGTGGCTGGGTAGCTGGAAGTAATGATTCCCCATGATGAGACTAGACTGGTAATCAACTTCATGGTGGAATCTACTGTGAACAGCTGACTTACAGATGTGGTCTGCTTCCAGTATATAAGAAGACACTTTGAGAAAGGTCTTGAGCTTTTGTTCTGGTTACCTAGTACCACTGTAACAGAAATACCACAAATGGAATGGCCTTAACAAACAGGAATTTATTCTCTCACAGTTTGGAGGCTTTAAGTCCAAGTTCAAAGTGCCAGCCTCTAGGGACTGTGTGAAAGTCCCTCGACCTTGGGCTTCAGCTCTGCCTCTTGCTCCCAGCCCACTGAAGCTAGAGGCATCTCTTCACTCAGGCAGCTATTGGCTGCTGAGGCTAACAAGCCCAAGGTCAACAAATAAAATGGCACAGTTCCGATGTTACCAAACCTCACAGCAGGTCATTAAGTCAAGTCCATTGAAAGTCCCAAGGTTGGCAGAGCTTGGCAGGCTGCTGAACGATACGGCTACATGCAGGGTTTAAGCGTGCCATAAGCTAGAGACCCTTCCCCTAGGTTTCTCCTTATATACAGGAAGCAGACCACATCCCTAAGGCAGCTACTCAGCTGCTCTCAGTAGATTCCACCATGGAGTTGATTGCCACTTTCATCATGGGGAATACTACATCCAGCTGCCCAGCCACTCAACCAGGCCCAGCCAAGTTGATATACAAACTTAACCACCACAAAGATACTTTGAGAAAGGTATTGAGCTTTTGCCACATCTGGATCCTGCATTTTGCCGAGTCTTTATCTCAATGGCCTGTCATGTTACCTGCTGGTCTTGATACTGTTTCCGGACTTGAAATAGCAGGCTTGATAATATTGGGACTGTGCCATTTTACTTGTCGACTGTGGGTTTGTCAGCCTCAGGAGCTGCTGAAGTTAAGAGATACCAGCAGCTGCTTGAGTTGAGAGATACCTCCAGCTTCGGCAGGCTGGGAGCAAGAGGCAGAGCCTTCACCCAGCTCCTAGAGCTGGCACTTTGAACTCAGACTTCTACCCTCCGATATTGTAAGAAAATAAATCCCTATTTGTTAAAGCCATCCACTTGTGGTATTTCTGTTAGACCAGGACTGAAGAACCAAAACACTTATTCTTCAGTTCTCTTCTTGTCTCTATCTATCCTCACCCCTTGGTGAAATCTTTCAGAATCATTAGTCTTTCCAGTTGTTCTGACTAACTTTGACTCCTCTCTTACACCCCACAACATCAGATAATCCCGTTAATTCTACCTTCAAAATACACCCAGAAGCTGAACACTTTTACTGCTGCCATTTTGGGTGGAAGCCACAACCATCTCTGAACCTGGATTATACCAGTGATCTCCAAATCGGCCATGCTATTTCCATGTTTGCCTCCTTCACTCTATACAGAGTATAAGAGGCTATCTAGTTAAAAAAAAAGTCAAATCATGTCAATCCTCCATTCTAAACCCACCTACAGTTTCTCATTTACCTCAGAGTAGAATCTAATATCCTTACAATAACCTATAAGACTGATCATAGTTTAGTCACCATGTTTCCACTTGAACACTTCTATCTCTTTTTCTATTATCTTGCTCACCCTGCTCAGTCATGCTTGCCACTTTGATTTTTGACAAATACGCAAAGAACACTCCTGCTATAGGGCCCGTTGCTCCTTATTATTTCCTAAATCTGGAACACTATATTATAAATATCCTTAAGACTCACTCCTATAACTCCTTCAGGCCATTATTTTAATATCACCTTTGAGTAAAACCTTCCCTGATCTTCATATTTATGAGTGTAACTCCTCTACCACCAAATTCCAGTACTTTCCAGCTCCCCTTTTCACTGTCATTTTTTCCATAGCACTAATCATATCTAATATTCTACATGTATTACTTATATATTGTATGCTACCTATACCAAGTAAGAAATTTTTACATTCTATTTGCTGATGTATCCCCAGAGCATCCAAAAGGCCATGTATACAGTAGGTACTCAATATTTATTTACAAATGAATAAAACTACTAATTATCTAGACCAGAGATGATTGCACCAATGCTAGAATTTCAAGAATAAACTTAAAAGTCTTAGAAAAAGAACTTAACCTGTTTTACCCATAATTAAAGGCTAACCAGCAATAAGCCAAATTTCTTAGATCAGATCAATAAAAATACAAGTAACTTGACAACATGTTTCAACAACATTTTTTTAACATTTACTTTTTGACCTCTCAGTTCCACTTCTGAACATCTATGCCATGGAAACAATATACCAAAAACATCAAAAAATAGTTCCCAAAATATATATAAAAAAAAGAGATGCACATAAATATTGAGAAATAAAAACTAGACGTTAAATGCCCAAATATAGTGGAACAACTGAATAAAATAAGACATATATTTTTTATAAAAATAATGTTGAGGAAGTCTGTTCCTATGTTTCAAAATTTTTAGTAGCTCTACGTTGCCTTCAAGACAATTTAGGCTCTCCCTTTCCTCCTTCAGCTTCATATTTTAGCATCTCCTCTTCATTATCTGTACTCAAGGCATACTCAACTGGCCCTCTCCCCTTCTAAATTCTCTCAAATCTGGAGACACTAATGTCATGGTTATGTCCCCTCCAAAACCCTTCTAGCACTTTTCCACCAAAGTCATACTTCATAGTAATTTATAGTAATTGATTTTTACTGATCTTTTTCTTGCACTGGAGTGTACAACTGACCCCTAGCATAATACCTGACCTTAAGTAGGCAGTATGTACAGAAATTAACTAAGTAATATTACATAAATGAGTTTATGATGCCACCATAAATTAACAATAAGTTTTGTGGAATTTTACAATTTATTTTCTTCTTCTTTTGTAGATTTGCAAGATTTTCTCTTTCTCTCTGTGTAAATTTTATAGTGCAAAAGTATATATATAGAGAGAGAGAGATTGAGTGAGTTCTGGTGGTGTAGCGGTTAAGGCATTTGGCTGCTAACCAAAAGGTCTGTGGTTTAAAACTACCAGCTTTTTCCATGGTAGAAAGATGAGGCAGTCTGCTTCCTTGAAGATTTACAGCCTTGGAAACCCAATGGGGGTCTCTTTTTGAGTCAGAATTGACTCAATAGCAGTGAGTTTGGGATATACATATACATACATACATACACACACACACACACATGTACATATATATATATACACACACACATATATACACACCCATATGCATGTATGTATATGTGTGTGTATGTACTGAATCATAATGTAGTAATTACATTGCATATGTATGAAATTCTTATAAAAAACAATCAATTCCTCAGACTTCTATTTCTTCTTCCCTCAAGATGCATAAAACCAAATAAAGGCACACTATAATGGGTAAAGTCAACAAGGCACTTAGTCTTTCTATTACCTGAGTGGAGTTAGATAGTTGGTTTTTCCACGGCTCCTCTGCGCTGCTGGTCAGGTTTGTGCGGTTATGAGGTAGAGTGAGAGCGTTTCGCTGCAGGTAAGGCACGTTTCCATTACTTCCACTTCCTGTTATGTGATTATTGCCTATCAAAATAGTGTCTGTACTCCCCAGCGTTCTTGCTGTGCTACAGGGAATATGCCCTGCAGAAAAGGGTCCATTGGCCAAAGGCTGCCCAGGGCAGGCAGGGCGGACTCCAGGTTGAGAGACACTAGGTACTCTGGTCAGAGCAAGCTGTGGCTGATGGCCAGAGACAGAGTTTGTAGGCAGTGATGAGTCAGCTGTTGGCCCATTAGGAATTCCAGTAGATCGTACCTGTGCAACTCCTGTTTGTCTCATCTACCGAAAACAAACGAAAAGTAAATGTTGCTTGTGTGCTCCATAGGGAAGAGAATCAGAGTAAGATGTATTATTAGGGATTTCTGAATTTAGCCTAACATTTAATTTCTCTGGGTTTAAAAATACACATTAAAACCAAGAAACTGTTTCTACACATTTTTAGATAAGCTTCCAGGGACAAGCAGAAAATCTGTTTTGGTTTAAAGAAATATCCCTTTAGTAATGACAAAAGAAAAGTAGCTGCAAATAATGGAAAAGAAATCAGGAAGTTATAGATCTTTTTCCCATCACAAAAGAGGTGATTTTAAAATTTCATTCTGCTATACTTATGTCAGATTGTCCAAATGAAAACAACCATAAAAATCCTGCCTTAGTTTAGAATAGCTGGCTGAGTATTAAATAATAAAAACGCACCCTTGGAACACATGTAAAATAGCATGTAATAATAAAATACCAAGTGTAGGGTTCAAAATTAAAGTTGTAGTTGTTTTTTTCTAAAAGTCCCTGTCCATTACTAACATTTTAAGAAGCAAACTTCAATAAATTCCACCAAATACAGGTAGGAAGCAGAATTGGGCATGAATATACTCTAAAATGATGTGACACTCAATAAAAATAGTCAAATTGCTAATAAATTTTACGGAAAAAAAATGCTATACACACTTGGTGTTGCTGCATTAAGACAAACTGACTTTCCAGCTGTTCCAGCATCAGTTTCTGAGCTGGATTTAAATTATTTCTATTTGCACGGAGCTGTTCCAAGTGCTAGAAGAAGAAAAAAGGAGAATATAGTCAAAGATTATACCTAAGAAATAAGCTCTCTACTCTAAACAACTTTCCCTGAAACAACTAGATAAACTCAGAACCTCTGGTCAAAAACACAGATTCCTCACTAACAACAATCAGCCCCAAGATGAAGCGCTTTAAGAACTGTGTGAAAAATAAGTAATAATTAAATATTCATCTCAAGAAGCATACTGTAATGTGATCTTTGAGATAAATGGGCATGAAAAGTTAGTCATTAATATGTTTCACATAGAAAGCCTTAAAGCTTAAATGCATTATGATAATATGTTCAAAGCAGCACTCTTTGGACTACGAAAAGTTTGAAATCAACGTGAATGTCCACAATTAAGGACCTTGTTAAAGTCATGGCATTTACATAAAGAAATATGACATAGCCATAAAAGAACAAGGAAGCTCTGTCCATTCTGACATAAAAAGGTTTCAAAGATAAATTACTAACGGTATATATAGAAATCTACCATTTGTGTAAAAAACAGAAAAATA